ACCATGGTGTCAAAAATTTGGGATGCAGTATTAGGATTAAGTTTGTTAAGAATTGTCCGCTTCCGAATACTAGAAAACGCGTGAAGGGCCTTTTCTTTTAAGTGTTCGAGTGCAAGTGTAAAGTTTCCCGTTGGAGTTAAACGTGTACCTAAATAAGTGTATTCTTGGACAATTTCAATTGACTCACTGCCTATGTTGAATTTTATGTCAATAGATTTTTTTGGGCGTTTCTGGAATATCATAATTTTTGTTTTCTTCGGATTAATTTTTAGCTTCCATTTGTCACAGTACAAAGAAAGCGCATTTAAACAGTTCTGTAATCCAGTTTTCGATCTTGATAGAATAACTAAATCATCTGCGTAGAAAAGTGAATTTATTTTTTTCCCATTTGGGAGAACAAATGGGTCAGATAAGGTGTTTTCGAATAAAAGTGGTAGATTGTTTAAATAGAGGTTAAATAAAAGAGGGCTTAAAATACAGCCTTGACGTACACCTCTGGAATATGAAAAAGGCTGTGTTTTGTTTTCACCGATTTTGATGGAACATGTCGAGTTGCAATAAAGACTTTTCATGAGGTTGTACAAGTTTCCTCCTATATTCGTTTTTAGCAGCTTATAAAACAATCTTTCGTGCCAAACAGAGTCAAACGCTTTGCGGAAATCTACGAAACAAGCGTAGACTTTTTCCTTGTGATAATGCACATATTTATCTATTAGGGTCCTTAGAGTGAAAACATGGTCTGCAGTGCGGTTTTCAGGCAAAAAGCCAATTTGGGAATTATGTAATATCTTATTTTCCTCAAAATACAAGTGAAGTCTTCGATTTAAAATAGAACAGAACAGTTTTCCAAGGCAACTAGAAACACATATGCCTCTGTAATTTGTTGGATCACTCTTGTCACCAGATTTGTAAATTGGGGTTATGAGGCCTTGACACCAAACATCTGGCATTTTTCCTGATTGTAAAATGAGGTTAAAAAGTTTGACATAGACAGGCATTAGTGGTTCGAGGCTTGCTTTGATCATTTCATTTCGTATTTTGTCAACAAAAGGTGATTTCTTATTTTTCAATTTCTTCGCCGCTTGACGTATTTCCCTCTCAGTTATCTCATAATCGAGAAGGTTAAACTGTTCCTTTTCGTGTTCTAAAGAATTTAGTTCCCTATGGATTTCATGTTCATGCGTGGAATTCGTCGGGTCAATAGAATGCAGAGATTTGAAATGGTGAAGCCATGATTCTTCCGAGATTGGAGCAGGAACATTTTCGTTGAAAGTGTCGCTCATCGAATTTAAACAATTCCAAAATGACGCCTTGTCAGGATTTAAAGCTAGTTCGTCGAGTTGTAATGTTTTTTCTTTGTGGAATCCTCTCTTCTTTGTGTCTAGGAGCTTTTTGTAATCATTCAAGGTTTTGTGATATCTTTCCCGCACTTCGGAGTTGAGGGGGTCACGGTGCTTTTCATTTGAGACTTTTCGTAATTCATGCCTTTTCAAGCGACATTCACAGTCGAACCATTTCTTGTTGGATGATTTCTTAATACGCATATCAGTTTTCTTAGCTTTAATTTTTAGGCATAGCTTGGAGCTCTCAGTTAGAATTTTCATAGCGTTTTCTAAGGAGACATTCACATCTTCGGTGTTTCTCTCCATATATTGTCTAATTAGAATTTGGATTGGTTCCGTGCGCAGTGCGTTTTTGAATTTTAAATGTGAGTCAACTTCCCAGCAAAATTGCCGTGGTAATTTTGATAATCTATTGCTACTATTTGGAGTGTGCATTTCGTCTCCAATTAACCTGGTGTTAAGATTGAGCCATGCCACGATGGCACTATGATCCGATAAATAAGATGGCTGTTTAACAACAAAATTTGCAACGTTGAGAAATGTACACTGATCACATATTAGATAATCAATAACGCTCGTTCCGTTTTTTCCATGAAAAGTGGGTCTGCCTAGGGTATCACCATTAACTCTGCCATTAACTATTCTTAGGTCAAAGGTTTTACAAATCTCCAACAGCCGTTTCCCATGGCTATTTAAAACATTATCAAAACTGTTTCTTTGAGTTGGCTGGAAAGCAGATTCTGACTGATCATTACTAATTCTACTGTTTCCCTCCTTTGAGACAGTATCAGAGTATTTCCCGGTTCTCGAGTTAAAGTCACCCATGAGAATTATTGATCCTTTCGAAGAAAAACGTACTATGTCTTGTTTTAGCTGATCAAAAATTTCGTTATCGAAGTATTTTGAGTTACAGGGGGGTATATAGACACCACAGACGTAAATATTCTTCACTGAATTTAGAAAACGATTCTCAATTTTAAACCAAATAAAATGCTGAGTTGTTTTAGTGATGGAAATGTTTTTATGGAATTTGTTCTTATAAAATAAAGCGATTCCTCCGGAGTTACGCCCACCTCTCCCCGACTAATTTGGTGTGGGACATTGAAAAAAAGATTTGTATCCCGCAATTTCCAGATTAGAGCAGTTGCCAATTTCTGTTAACAATATAAAATCGGAGTTATTAATAACACTCAAAAAATCAGTATTATCTAACTTATTTCCAAGATATTTCGAAGAAAGGCCATTAATATTCCCAGCGCAAAAGGACAATGTGCTTGGAATATCGGGACTATCTTCGGTGTCCGTGATTGTATAGAAAAAAAATACATGGATTACTCTTTACACTGGTATAAAGTTTATCATTAATACTTAATTCAGTGTCAAGGGTAAGATGAAATTGTTCATACAAATGATTTTATAAAACGAAGAAAGGATATGATTTCCTGAGGCATTGCTGAATCCGTTAATTTGTTGGAGGGGCGAGTTTCTTCACCTGCGGTTTCCATTTTAGCGGCCTGTGGAAACGTTTGATGCGGTGTTTTGGAGTATTGATGCGATATAGTTGGTGGCGGAGCTGGGAGTATCTGGTCCGGCAGGGTTTGCATAGGAAGCTGGAATGCTTTATTTGAGGCATTTGGTTCATGATGTAGTGAATTTTGCAATGGTGTTGGAGGTATTCGTTGTGGAAGTTGTGGTGTGACAAATGGTAACGGCGGAGGTTGAGTTTGAAGAAGGTGAGGCCAACGAGGCATTTGAGGTGGTGTGTTCTTTACGGCATTGCTGTATGATGTGTGATGTAATAGTGGCTTGGGACCTTGGGACGAAGTCGGTTGAGTTCGTGAGGATCTTTGTCTTTGGGCTGGCATTGTATTAGAAGGAACTGTAGGTTTTGGTCTGGCACGACCGCGAATTGCGTCCTTAAGGTTTTTGGCGAAAAATTTTACGTACCGTTTAAGAATATGTTTCTGATCGTAAAGAATATTTGATTGATTCTCAAAGAGGTTGTCATGTTTGACTAACTGCACATTGGGTAATCTTGAGCAGCTACTGATCAACTGATTGTTTATTGAAGTTATTATTGGTGTCGGGATGTGGCTGCGGGGAAGAAGTGTTGAGTAGAATATTTTGCTTGAAGGAAATTTCGTTGAGGCTTCTGTAATCAATATTAAGATGTTAGAAATAAGATCTTCAGGAGAACTGGTTTTTTCTAGATCGTTTGTTCCTGTGTGTAATATGAGTAGTTGGGGAGCAGTGTGGATTTGACTTTGTAAGTACGATCTAGCGTGTTCAATCAGTGGAGTTCTAACATACTTCACTTCCTGGTCTGAAGAAAACATTTTTTCCATGTCTAAAAACTTTCCATTTGAATCACATAGAAAGATCACTTCATTAGAATTATTGGTGTCGTTGGTAGCAGGAGACTTAGGAGGGTGCTGGGAATTAGTGTCTACGGGTTTGTTTTGTGGTTCTTTTCTTGGCGGGTTTTCTGGTAGATCTTGAAGGGGAGAGAAAGAGTTTGATGTTGGAAGATTAACAAGTAGTATCTCATCTTCTGACCATTGCTTGTCGATTGATGTAGGAATGGCAGCTTTATTCTTTGTGCTGTCATTGAATTTGACGTCCATTTCTTCACCAGAGGTCTGGCTCGACGTCTTAGTTGTTTCCGGCGGCAGTTGTATTGTTTCCCAGAGGGCTTTAATTTGGTCCTTAAGAAAGGTGATTTCCGCTTCAAGCTGGTTCTGTGTTCTTCTCATGGTTGCGTAATCCTCCAATATTTTCGCATTTTTCTTTTGAAGTGCTTGATTTTCATTCTGTAATTTGAAAATTAAGTCAGCGTGTTTTTGTAAATCGTGATTTAGAAGTTTAGTATTGTTTTCCAGATCATCAGCAAGGCCCCCTAGGGTTGTTGTTTGTACTTTTACTAGTAGTTAGTGATAGTTATTAGTAGTTACTGGTAGCTACTAGTATTTAGTGGTAGTTATTAGTAGTTATTAGTGGTTGATGGTAGTTATTGGTATTTATTAGTAGTTACTGGTAGTTACTAGTAATTGCTGGTAGTTACTAGTAGTTACTAGTAGTTACTGGTAGTTATTCGTAGTTACTGGTATTCAATAGTAGTTGCTGGTAGTTACTAGTAGTTACTTGTAGTTGATGGCAGTTATTGGTAGTTACTAGTAGTTGATGGTAGTTATTGGTATTTACTAGTACCTACTGGTAGTTACTAGTAGTTGCTGGTAGTTACTAGTAGTTACTGGTAGTTATTAGTAGTTCCTGGTAGTTACTAGTAGTTATCGGTAGTTACTAGTAGTTACTGGTAGTTGGTGGTATTTATTGGTAGTTACTAGTATTTAGTGGTAGTTATTAGTAGTTACTGGTATTTACTAGTAGTTGCTGGTAGTTACTAGTAGTTACTAGTAGTTGATGGTAGTTATTGGTAGTTACTAGTAGTTGATGGTAGTCATTGGTATTTACTAGTAGTTATTAGTAGTTCCTGGTAGTTACTAGTAGTTATCGGTAGTTACTAGTAGTTAGTGGTAGTTATTGGTAGTTACTAGTAGTTAGTGGTAGTTACTAGTAGTTACTGGTAGTTACTAGTAGTTATCGGTAGTTACTAGTAGTTACTGGTAGTTACTAGTAGTTCCTAGTAGTTATCGGTAGTTACTAGTAGTTACTGGTAGTTGGTGGTATTTATTGGTAGTTACTAGTAGTTAGTGGTAGTTACTAGTAGTTACTGGTAGTTACTAGTAGTTATCGGTAGTTACTAGTAGTTACTGGTAGTTACTAGTAGTTCCTAGTAGTTATCGGTAGTTACTAGTAGTTACTGGTAGTTGGTGGTATTTATTGGTAGTTACTAGTAGTTAGTGGTACTTATTAGTAGTTACTGGTACTTAGTAGTAGTTGTCGGTAGTTACTAGTAGTTACTGGTAGTTACTGGTGGTTGTCGGTAGTAACTAGTAGTTACTGGTAGTTACTAGTAGTTCCTACTAGTTATCGGTAGTTACTAGTAGTTACTGGTAGTTGGTGGTATTTATTGGTAGTTACTAGTAGTTAGTGGTAGTTATTAGTAATTGTCGGTAGTTACTAGTAGTTACTAGTATAATTATTGGTATTTACTAGTAGTTACTGGTATTCAATAGTAGTTGCTGGTAGTTACTAATAGTTACTTGTAGTTGATGGCAGTTATTGGTAGTTACTAGTAGTTGATGGTACTTATTGGTATTTACTAGTAGCTACTGGTAGTTACTAGTAGTTGCTGGTAGTTACTAGTAGTTACTGGTAGTTATTAGTAGTTCCTGGTAGATACTAGTAGTTGTCGGTAGTTACTAGTAGTTGCTGGTAGTTACTAGTAGTTACTGGTAGTTGATGGTAGTTATTGGTAGTTACTAGTAGTTACTGGTATTTACTAGTAGTTACTGGTAGTTACTAGTAGTTGTTGGTAGTTACTAGTAGTTACTAGTAGTTAATAGTAGTTCTTGGTATTCACTAGTAGTTAGTGGTAGTTATTAGTAGTTACTGGTAGTTACTAGTAGTTGTCGGTAGTTACTAGTAGTTGCTAGTAGTTGTCGGTAGTTTTTAGTAGTTGCTAGTATTTACTGGTAGTTACTAGTAGTTGTCGGTAGTTACTAGTAGTTACCAGTAGTTGCTAGTAGTTGTCGGTAGTTACTAGTAGTTACTGGTAGTTACAAGTAGTTGTCGGTAGTTTCTAGTAGTTGCTAGTATTTAATGGTAGTTACTAGTAGTTGTCGGTAGTTACTAGTACTTGTCGGTAGTTACTAGTACTTGTCGGTAGTTACTAGTAGTTACTAGTAGTTGACGGTAGTTTCTAGTAGTTGCTAGTATTTACTGGTAGTTACTAGTAGTTGTCGGTAGTTACTAGTAGTTACTGGTAGTTACTTGTAGTTACTTGTAGTTCCTAGTAGTTATCGGTAGTTACTACTAGTTACTGGTAGTTGGTGGTATTTATTGGTAATTAGTTGTAGTTACTGGTAGTTACTGGCAGTTAGTGGTAGTTATTGGTAGTTACTAGTAGTTGTCGGTAGTTACTAGTAGTTGCTGGTAGTTACTAGTTGTTGGTGGTAGTTACTTGTAGTTTTCGGTAGTTACTGGTAGTTACTGGTAGTTATTAGTAGTTGTTGATAGTTGCTTGTAGTTATCGGTAGTTACTAGTAGTTGTCGGTAGTTACTAGTAGTTGTCGGTAGTTACTAGTAGTTATTAGTAGTTAACGGTAGTTCTTGGTATTTACTAGTAGTTGTCGGTAGTTATTAGTAGTTACTGATAGTTGGTAGTAGTTCTCGGTAGTCACTAGTAGTTGTCAGTAGTTACTAGTAGTTACTAGTATTTACTGGTAGTTGCAGGTAGTTACTAGTAGTTGGTGGTAGTTACGAGTAGTTTTCGGTAGTTACTAGCAGTTACTGGTAGTTACTAGTAGTTGTCGATAATTACTGGTAGTTACCAGTAGTAAAAAAGTTACTGGTAGTTATTAGTAGTTGTTCGTGGTTGCTTGTAGTTGTCGGTAGTTATTAGTTGTTGGTGGTAGTTATATTTTGGCATTTACTGGTAGTTTTTGGTAGTTACTAGTAGTTATTGGTATTTACTGGTAGTTTCTGTTAATTACTAGTAGTTTCTTTTAGTTACTAGTAATATTAATAGTAATAATTTGTTTTATTTGCATGGCTGCATAATTTTACAGTATTGCAAAGGCATGCATATGACAATCAAAATATAGAACAAACAGCACTAATAATGATCAAGATAAATTCAGTTACATTACTAACAATGAATCACGTATTTTAATACAGGAGGAAACAAACTTCATAACTAACTTATTTACATGATGTTCCTTCGAATTCATTATCAGTTTTATGCTTTCTGGAGATGATTTCTTGTTAAAGTCAGGTATTATTCGATTGCTTTGATTAATAAAGGCCTGTCTCTTTACTGAGTATTTGTTATATTGAAAGAGGAAATGAATCTCATATTCTACCTGATTTGAGTTGCATAAGGGACATAATCTATTTTCTCTCGGCAAATGATCGATTTGGTATCGACCATCTTCAATCGTAAGTTTGTGATTACTTATTTTAAATTTAACAAAAATTCTTTCGTTCGTCATAATGTCTTTGCTGGTAGAGATAATCAGATGTAGAATATTCATCTTTAAAAGTTTTATAAAATTCTAGTTTTTTTTAATTTTCAAGGCTGTGCCGCCAAAAAGATAGATATTTCTCTCTCATTTCTGTGGTATATCGTCTAATTTTATCATTATCTAGAGATTCAGCATCTAAACTGGTCGGATTGTATTGTTCAAACATGTATGTTTATGAAATTGGAAAAATATCCTGAATTATTCATAGAATGTAGATTCTTTGACCTAAGGAAAGACTGTTTGACTATAGAGTCATTACCTTTGTTGTTGAGGTAAACAAAATATTTCATTAACTGACGAAAAATATAACTGTTTTTTTCCGAGGGGGACCTGACATTAAGTGTTCTGTTATATTTCTAGACTTTCACTTTAACAGCGTCAATAGAAATGGTCGAGGCAAATGAAAACAGTCGACTCGAATCAGTAATTACCGGCAACTACCAGTAACTAACAGCAACTACTAATAACTACCAGCAACTACTGGTAACTAGCAGTAACTACTGGTAACTAGCAGTAACTACTAGTAATTAACAATAACTACCACCAACTATTAGTAACTACCGAAAACTACTAGTAACTACCACTAACTACTAGTAACTACCACTAACTACTAGTAAATACCAATAACTACCACAAACTACTAGTAACTACCGACAACTACTAGTGACTACCAGTAACTACTAGTAACTACCGATAACTACAAGCAACTACCGACAACTACTAATAACTACCAGTGACTACCAGTAACTACTAGTGTCACTAGTAAATACCAAAAACTACCATTAACCACTAGTAACTACTAGTAACTACCAGCAAATACTAGTAACTACTAGCAATTACCGGCAACTACTAGTAACTACCACCAACTACTAGTAACTACCGACAACTACTAGTAACCATTAGCAACTACTAGTCACTACCAGTAACTACTAGTTACTACTAGTAAGTAGTAATAACTACTCATAACTACAAGGAACTACTAGTAACTACCGGCAACTACTAGTAACTACCAGTAACTACTGGTAAATACCAAGAACTACCATTACCAACTACGTAGTAACTATCGACAACTACTAGTACCTACCAGTAAATACTATTAACTGCTAGTAATTACCGACAACTGCTGGTAACTACCAGTAACTACTAGTAACTACCAACAACTACTGGTAACTACCAGTAACTACTAGTAACTACCGACAACTACCAGAAACTACTAGCAACTACTAGAAACTACCAGCAACTACTAGTAGCTACCAATAACTACCACCAACTACTAGTAACCACTAGTAACTACCGACAACTACTAGTAACTACCACTAACTACTAATAACTACCACTAACTACTAGTAAATACCAAGAACTACCATTAACTACTAGTAAATACTAATAACTACCGACAACTACTAGTAACTACCGACAACTACTAGTAACTACCAGTAACTACTAATAACTTATACCACTAAATACTAGTAAATACCAAGAACTATTATTAACTACAAGTAACTACTAGTAACTACCAGTAACTACTAGCAACTACTAGTAAATACCAGTAACTACCAATAACTACTAGTAACTACCAGTAACTACTAGTAAATACCGACAACCACTAACAACTACTAGCAACTACCGATGACTACTAGGAACTACTAGTAACTACCAGTAACTACTAGTAACTACTAATAAATACCAATAACTACCAACAACTACTAGTAACTACTAGTAAATACCAGTAACTACTAATAACTACCTCTAAATAATACTAACTACCAGTAGCTACTAATAACTACCACTAAATACTAGTAAATACCAAGAACTACTATTAACTACTAGTAACTACCGACAACTACTAGTAACTACCAGTAACTACTAGTAACTACCGACAACTAGTAGTAACTACCAGTAACTACTAATAACTATCACTAACTACTAGTAACTACCAATAAATACCACCAACTACCAGTAACTAGTAGTAACTACCGATAACTACTAGGAACTACTAGTAACTACCAGTAACTACTAGTAACTACCAACAACTACTAGTAACTACCAGTAACTACTAATAACTACCACTAACTACCAGTAACTACTAGTAATTAACGTTAACTACTAGTAACTACCGGGAACTACTAATAACTACCAGTAACTACTAGTAACTACCAGTAACTACTAGCAACTACTAGTAAATACCAATAACTACCGATAACTACTAGTAACTACCAGTAACTACTAGTAAATACCGACAACAACTAGCAACTACTAGTAACTACTAGTAACTACCGATAACTACTAGGAACTACTAGTAACTACCGATAACTACTAGTAACTACCAGTAACTACTAATAACTACCACTAACTACCAGTAACTACTAGTAATAACCAATAAATACCACCAACTACCAGTAACTACTAGTAACTACCGATAACTACTAGTAACTACCGGGAACTACTAATAAATACCAGTAACTACTAGTAACTACCAGCAACTACTAGCAACTAAATACCAGTAACTACTGATAACTACCATTAAATACTAGTAACTACCAGTAACTAATAATAACTACCACTAACTACTAGTAAATACCAAGAACTACTAGTAACTACTAGTAACTACGGACAACTACTAGCAACTACCAGTAACTACTAATAACTACCACTAACTACCAGTAACTACTAGTAATTACCAATAAATACCACCAACTACCAGTAACTACTAGTAACTACTGGTAACTACTACTAACTACCGGGAACTACTAATAACTACCAGTAACTACTAGTAACTACCAGTAAGTACTAATAACTACCACTAACTACCAGTAACTACTAGTAATTACCAGTAAATACTACTAACTACCAGTAACTACTAGTAACTACCGATAACTACTAGTAACTACCGGGAACTACTAATAACTACCAGTAACTACTAGTAATTACCAGCATTTACTAGCAACTACTAGTAAATACCAATAACTACCGATAACTACTAGTAACTACTAGTAACTACCAGCAACTACTACCAACTACCAGCAATTACTAGTTACTACTAGTAACTACTAGTAAATACCAATAACTACCATCAACTACTAGTAACTACTAGTAAATACCAGTAACTACTAATAACTAGCATTAAATATTAGTAACTACCAGTAACTACTAATAACTACCACTAACTACTAGTAAATACCAAGAACTGCTATTAACTACCAGTAACTACCAGTAACTACAAGTAACTACCGATAACTACTAATAACTACCACTAACTACTAGTAAATACCAAGAACTACTATTAACTACTAGCAACTACTAGTAACTACCGACAACTACTAGTAACTACCAGTAACTACAAGTAACTACCGATAACTACTAATAACTACTAGTAACTACTAGTAACTACAAGTAACTACTAGGAACTACCACTAGCTATTGGGGAGAAGACACAATACTACATACTACACAGAGTGTATATTACCGGTGCACTTGTGGCTTTCCACCATGAAGTATATACCGAAAAAATAGCCCCTTGGTAGCCCAGTTAAAATTCATCATCTTGTAGACAAGGCAGCTACTAGTGCCAGTCCCTCCAGATTGCTGAATTTTGAAGATGGCGTCGCTTTGCTATTTTCTAGTTTCATCCTATCGTTCAGCACTTTTTACCCTTTCAAAATGTAACCTAGGCAGTATTTCGAGCTTTTGATATGTCCTCCAGCTGCTGAACATACTTTACAGCGAAATATGAAAGAAAATTCACGAAGAGGACTTAAAACAAACACGAAGACCGGATCGGCCTGTTTACAAGAAAAAGCTTCGAAACTATAGCAAATGTGAGTTTTCAAATTTCTTCCTGTT